CAATAAAAATACATGATTGAAAAAAGACTGCCTTGTCAACAAATGCTGTTGGAAAAGTGGTTATCTATCTGTGAAAAACTGTAATCAATCTGCAAAAAAGTGGATCAAGGACTGAAATATCAGACCCGAAACTCTGAAGTTAGTCTAGGAAAGAGCAGAAAACACTCAGGAAGTAATAGGTATAGCCAAGGACTTCCTCAATAGAACCCCAGAAGCTCAGCATCTAAAAGAAATGATGGACAAATGGGACTTCATAAAATTAAAAAGCTTCTGTACAACAAAAGAAATGGTCTCTAAACTGAAGAGACAACCCACAGAGTGGGAGAAAATATTTGCCAGCTATACATCAAACAAAGGACTAATAACCAGAATATACAGGGAACTTAAAAAACTAAATTCTCCCAAAATCAATAAGTCCGTAAAGAAATTGGCAACTGAACAATACAGAAGTTTCTCAAAAGAAGAAATTCAAATCACCAAAAAACATATGAAAAAGTTCTCACCATCTCTAGACATAAAGGAAATGCAAATCAAAACCACACTAAGATTACACCTCATCCCTGTTAGAATAGCCATCATCAAAGACACCACTAACAGCATGTGTTGGTGAGGATGTGGTGAAAAAGGAACGCTTGTACACTGCTGACAGGAATGCAAACTAGTACAACCACTCTGGAAAAAAATTTGCAGACTTCTTAAAAATCTAAACATAGGATCTGCCATATGATCCAGCAATCTCACTCCTGGGGATACACCAAAAGAATGCAACACAGGTTACTCCAAAGGCACCTGCACACCCATATTTACTGCAGCATTTTTCAACCAAGTTATGGAAATAGCCAAAATGCCCCATTTCTGACAAACGGATTAAGAAAATGTGGTATTTATACAGAATGTAATTTTACTCAGCCATGAAGAATTAAATCTTACCATTCACAAGTAAATGGATGTGACTGCTGAACAGTCACATTCTGAGCGCGGTTAGCCAGGCTCAGAAGACCAAAAATCATATATTCTCCCTCATATGTGGACTTTTGATCTAGAGCAAATACAGCAATGTAATTGGACTGGGTGTCATGATAAGGGGAGAGCACATACGGGAGGTATGGGGATAAATAAGGAACTTAAAACATAAGTGTTGGATGTCCCCACTGCAAAGGAACTTATACAGAAACCTTAATGCAATAGAGGTCAATATCAGAAGGGGAACAGGAACTAGTGAAAAGGTCAGTTTTAGATGAATCAACTTGGGTTGTAACACATTTGTACATGGAAGCAATGCTAGGAATCTCTCTGTATAGCTATCTTTAACTCAACTAGCAAAAACACTTTGTCTTTCTTATTATTGCTTACGTTTTCTTTTCCACAAAATTAGAGATAAGGGCTGAACAGGTTCTTCCCGGAAGTGAGGGAAGCAGGGGGTAGGGGGTAGAAATGGCCCAAACATTGTATGCCCATGTGAATAAATGAATCAAAAAAGAGAAGAATAGAACAGCAGCAGCACAGTTGATGCTTAGTAACCACCACCTCCACACCCACCCAGCTCCCCAGACTCCTTAGTCAAACAATAGTCACTAAGTAGTTTATGAGAAGAACTATCCCTCTGTGTTCTCATAGCTTCCTTGTAGGGATTTAGGGACTGTTGGAAAAATCAGGTGAGGAGAACTAAGCCATGGGTTAATTAGGATACTTTTCTTTCCTATTGGAAATGTGATGAACAAAATGGATTTTTTTTTCAGTTAAAAACTACATTTTTACAGAGCCCCTCAAAACAGTTGTATTTCCTAAAGTTGGTGTGATTGGATGTTGAATTGTTTGTGTGTGTGAACTTAAATGGTTTGGTTGTTTCCACCACAAAACCCCAGGATTCTAGAAAGGAGGGAAGAAGCCAACACTGAACGCATTTCCAGCCTCTACTCCTCATTCCAAAAACAAATTCTGGGACAAGGGTTCTTCCTCTCTAGGTCAGTCTCTAATTTTTCAGGAAGTCAAGGCTTCATCTCCAAAAATAGAAGATACTATATGCATCCATCTATTCTAAAGCAAAACTATATTAGGTAGTCTCTCAGTTCATATTTGGTTCTCACATTCTAGAATGCATTATGCTCAGAACTCATAGAAATATGCTGAAAGATATAGTGTGTTGATAGGCATACAATTTGTCATGCTATAGGGACACAAACTGGCTGGTGAGGCCCATTTATTGAACCCAGTGTATGGGGTATGCACACTTCATCATGGGCATTCAGTTATGGGTTGATGTGCAAGATGACTATTGCAGCAAGTCTGGCAAGAGCTCAGTTACTACTTTGGACTCATTTTACCTATGTGAGTGGCTCAGAGTGCTTTGTTAAAATATGACAAGAAAGCTATCTCAAATCCCATCACACTCCAGCTTTCTCTTCTCTCTGTTCCTTCATTCCTCATTATCCATCCCTCCTTCTTTCCCTGTTTCCTCTGGCTTCCAGCTCTTAGCTTTCTCTCCAATCCAATCCTTCCCTTTCTGCTTTCTGCCTTACTGGTTTCTTTCCTATGATGAATGCTGTCTGATCTCACTACTGTTTCCTAAGGCTCTCCCTGTCCAGCTCCTCTGCTCCTTCCAAACTATCCACTCACTCCCCTTTATCTTGTTCCCATTTATTGTCACTCTTCCATTTTTGCCACTCCTCTTCCCCTTCACCCTTCTTTCTAGTTTCCTATTCTCCAGTCCCTATTGATTATGCAGCAACCCCCAGCAAGACTGATGGTTCACAAAAGTCATCCAGGAGAAATGTTTTCCTATCACTGGCACAGTTAAGAATTGCCAGAACTGTGTATTCCTCAAGCTTGCCATGGGGAACATAGGGATTTCAGATTAGTAGGCCAGCATTCAGTCTGGACCATTTCTCTGGTTAGTTACAAAACCACTTTCCATAACCAGCTCCTGGTTATCTTAATACTGTCTGTAGTTATTCTTTATCCTATCTTTGGAATCCTCTTCAAATGTCAGAGATAACTTTAACAGTTTCATTTTTCCAGAGAGTTTGTTCCTTTTCTCCCTTTCCTGATCAGCCAGCACATTTGTAAGCGATTCACTGTGGAACTTGGTCTACAACCTTAGAGCAAGCTGCAGGCACAGTGACAGACAAGACAGAAGAGAGGGAAATAAGAAATCTAAGGGAGTTGTCCTGTGATCAGTCCTAAGTTAAAATGAGTGCAAGCAAGGGTGACCCTGAGAACTCATATAGGGCACACATGGCCCCTGCTATAACTAGATGGTATGTTAGCAAAATACCTGAGAAAAGCAACTTAAATGAGGAAAAGTTTATTTTGCCTCATGGTTGCATAGGTTTCAGTTCATGGTCAAATGCCTCCATTAACTTGGGCCCACAGTTAGTCAGAACATGGTATAAGACACTGCCTACCTCATGATGGAAAGGAGGCAGAAAGAGAGAGGAAGTGGCTGAGGAGAAGAAACACTTCAAGGCATGCCTCCAGTGATCTACTTCCTCCAACTAGGCCCCACCTTAAGGCTCCCATCTCATCTCAATAATGCCATCAAAATATTAATCCATCAATTGACTGACCCATTGATGGAAGTCAGAGCACTCAGATCCAATCATAGTGTCATCTCAATAGTGTCATCACTCAATAGTGTATGTATATACACACAGAGAAAGAGAGAAATATTGAATTAGTGGGTCTGTTTTAGGGGACTACAGGAGGCAGAAGAGCAAAAGAAAATGTTAGAGAATGAAACATATGGAAACATTCCATCTATATATGAATCTAATGTAATATAAATGCACTGTAAGCTGTTAGATGGTGGGGGAAGCAGGGTAATAAAGAGTAAATGATGGGGGTTGATCTAATTAAAGCATAATATGTACATGTCTAAGATGCCAGGGTGAAACCCCCTTGGACTATCAAAATACACTCTAAGAAGCAAGGGGCAGGTCTTTTCCAGAGTAGGTACCAGTGGGAGGAGGTAGAACATAAGGTAAGGTTGAATGAGGGTGAATATGATGGATGTACTTTGTATTCATAAATGAAGACAGAAGAATGAAATTGTTATTGGAAGGGGGAGGGGAGAAGATGGAGAACGATGGAGAGGGTAAATAAAACTGAGATATATTGTAAGCACATATGTAAATATCATGATATACCCCTCTGTACAACTACTATATGCCAATAAAAAAGAAAAATAAATCAAAATAAACTATTACATAACTCATCCAAAGGGGTTGAATTCATAGAAACAGAAAATCAAATGGTGTTTGAGGGGGCTGGAGGAAGGGTGATAGAGAGACTAAGGTGTGAGAAAAAGTTCTGGAGATGGGGTTCACACTTGAGTACATTTCACACTGATCTCTATACTCAAAACTAGCTCAGATGGAAAATTAGATATGATGTGTATATTTCCACAATTAAAAAATAAAAATAAATTAATTACAAAGTAATTGAGTTAATTAGAATAGCAAAAGGTGATTCTGTCTATATTATAAATAGTATTTTTCAGATGTGAAACCACAATATGGTTTTGTTGTTGCTGGTGCTGATTTTTGTTGCTATTGTTGTTTGTGTGTAAAATAGGCATACAGGATTTTGATTCTGGGCATTTGTTTTCAAGTTAGAGAGGTTTCTGTCTCCTCCCTTCACCTTTTTAGGGAAACAATTGGCCAAAACGAAGTGTAATCATCATTTTTTACCTTCGTGGGTCTTTTATTGGACTTTGAGACCGTTCCTGTTTAAGTCCAGGGGTGGCTGTAGTAACCAGTTGAGTCCCAGTGAATCCAGCCCCTAATCAGGGAAGGGATGGTAGCAATGCTGCATGCCTGAGTAAGCACAGCCTAGGGGAGGGTGGTACTGTCTAGCAGAGAATCCTTGCTTGGAGACAAAAGGAGCACTGTTGCCTGGAGACAGAAAGAACACGGTTACCTGGAGATTCAGAAGGCTCATGACTGGCAGAGGTGCCTAAACGGCATTTAGAGAGCCTGACCGCACTGAGCAGAAACAAGGCAATGGCGGGACACCAGAAGGAAAAGGTGACCCAGGATGAAGTTCATCAGAACCAGATTTTGCGGGAACTATACCTCAGAGAGCTGCGAACTCAAAAGCTCTACACGATGTATCACGTAAATCCCCTGAGCAAAGGTGAGGGGCATAGAAGGTGACGGTGAGCATGAGGTGGAGGGAGAGAGGAAGGATCCCTGGGAGCTGTGGACCTCAGGCCACCACGAGAATGGAAGATTTTTGCCCCTTGCCCTAGGAAAAGTGGAATGGTGACTTTTGAGGGGCCATGCCACACCTCACAGAAGACACACTAGATACATTAAGGTGCAGCCAACTTCATGACTGCATATTTTGGGTGTAGAATAACGGTGAATGGCTTTTTATACTTTTGCTTTTAAAATAATTATATTTTTCAGGGTTTTTAATGGGGATTTTTTTTTGTTTGTAATTGGGTTCTATTTTAATATGCTAAGGTGTGTGTGTGTGTGTGTGTTTTAATCTTATTGTAGACCCCTTCAGAAAGTTCAGGAGTAGTGGACACTGGTCAGAGTGCTCCCTTCCCCTAATAAAGCCACCTGACCCGTCATAGCAATCACTGTGCACTCTCATTGATGGTTTCATCTGGTCCTATCACATCAGCTTCCCCTCACTGCCACTGGCCTCAAATGCACTCCTGACCTCTATTCCCAACCACCCTCCAGCTACCTTTCCTGGATCAACTCACAGGTTCATCAAACTTGCTAACTGGAAAGCTAACCTGAACCCTATCCCTTACCTTCTCCTACTCCAGAACCCCCTGTCTCGGTAAAAGGCACCTTAGGCTTCGCTCTCCTTAGTGAGAATCCTGGCAGTGTCCTCAGTGGCTCTTCTCCCCATTCCACACATTTATGGAGTCACAAATCCTACTTATAATTTAACATTTCTCTCACCCAGTCTTTCCTGTGTTGCTCCTCAGTGAAAGACATGTGGAACTCCTTTCCACTTAATCAATCCCAACCTTTAAATAGCACCTGAATCTTCCTTTCTCTATCCTTACTCACAAAGCCTTTACAGGGACCTAGTCACTCTGTCCTGTATTGTCTGATAGGCTATTGTACTTCCCTCCAAATCTGCCCCTGAAACTCTCCCTATATTCTTGATATGCTAAAAGACTCATTTGACTTTGTCAAATCCCTTTAGAGGGGACAGAGAATTATATTATAACATGAACTGTGGTGCTGTTTTTCTCTAGTTCATACAATTGCCAGAAAGCCCATGTCATGGCATGATAACTTGGAGGAACCTGAAGATGGTAAGAACACCATGAGATTTATTACAGAGAGGCAGACTGACTGCAGAGACCTCCCAGGCTTTGTCAACTTGGACAAACATGAGGTCCTCATATTTGATCCTTGAAACTGCATTCATAATAACCAAGCTCACAAGACACTGACATATTAAACCATAATACCAACTTATAAATTGTCAAGCCAACAAACATTTAGACATTCGTTCAAACATTTAGATATTGCAAGCTCAGTTTCTAAAGTTTTAATCCTGGTGCTGCCATTCACTAACTGAGTGACTTTGAGTAAGGTATTAACCTCTCTGAGCTTATTTTGTAGGGTTGTTATAAGGATTAAACAAAATAATGCAACTTCTTAGAACAGTATAAGGAACATTGTGCTCAGGAAATGTTAGTTATTATTATTTTCATACTTACCCTGTGCCAGTCAATTGTATGGGGCTGGATGGTAAGATCTTATAGTCTGATGAAGTAGACAAATGAGCAGACTTGCAAGTACCTAGGTAAGCAAATAGGGAATCGCACAAGTGTGTCGATGGCATAGGAAAGAGGTGCCTCTGACAGGCAGTGGAGTTCGAGGAAGTTTTCTTAGAGAAGGTGATCATAGGCTGAGGTGGAGCATGTCAGGTGGAAAAGTCTGGGAAGGATCTTCTGCACTATATATAAGGCACAAAAATGAGAAACACCATCAAGGTCTGAGAACTGCATGCACTGTGGCCTTTGTTTTTGCTGCCTAGAGTATACTTTTTCTTTCCTTCTTCCCAGGACTGCCTCTGCTTGGCATTCAAAGAAGACTTCTCTCACCAACCTATCCAAAATAGCTGCCCTTGCTTCTCATGCCCCTTCGCCTACCCCTTTCTCCACATCATGAATCACTGTTTTCACCTTCTGGGATATGTGCACACCTGAATATTGCATCCCATGTCCCTCTATCTCCAGGAGGACAAGGCTTATGTCTGTCTTGCCTGGTGCTCATCGCCCAGGACCCAGAACAGTGCCTGGTGCAGTTTGTGTTCAATGCATTTGTTGAAAAATAAGTAAAGAATGTGACAGTTTTTTCTGGAGGCTGTATTAAGCTTCTGAGGCCAATGTTCTGCTTCTAAGTAACAGTGTGGCCAGAGAAAAGGACACAAGAACACATGCTGACCCCAAATTCTTACACCTTTCTAACACATGCCCCATCTTCCAGTCAGGTTTCTAAATCTCATTCACCATGCTGCACAGGAACCAAGGAAGAAATACCCAGAGACTCAGACAGAAAGTCAAGAAATAGGATGGGACACAGAGCCCTTGGTAAGCATGACTTCCTAGTTGGCACTAAAACAGTGGAAACATGGGTGTTAGGCAAGAGGACAGAGGCAGGAGCCAGATTTGCCTGGGTTTGAATTATGGCTTCAACTTACTAGTTGTGTGACCTTGGGTAAGTTGCTAAGCTGTCTTATAACTCAGCTTCCTTGTCATATAATGAAGATATTATAGTATTTATCTAATAGGATTGTTGTGCTTAGTCAGCTTTCCATTGCTATAACAAATATCTGAGGAAAAACAACTAAAAGGAGGAAAGATTTATTTTTGATTCATGGTTTTAGAGGTTTCAGTGAATAGGATTGACTCCATTACTTTGGGCCTAATGTAGGCAAAACATCATGGTAGAGAGAGCATGATGGAGCAGAGATGCAACTTCATGGTGCCCCGGCACAAGAGAAAGACCAGTAGGGCCCAGGAACAAGACACCCTTAAAAGGCATTATCCCAGTGATCACCTTCTTGCAACCAAGTCTACCTCCCACCACCTCCCAATGATGCTGTCAAATTATTAATCTATCCATGGGCCAATCCAAAGATTAATTTAGAGCCCTCATGATTCACTCACCTGTCAATGATGGGGTTCACCTTTCTGTGAAGATATTTCACATGCAAACCATAAGAAAGAGTAAATTAAATAATATTTGTAGCCTAGAAGTGTTTGACATATATTAAATGCTCAATAAATGTGAACTGGGTTACTATGATGCTGATGGGGAAGAAAAGAAAGGAGGATACAGAGCCCAGCTTAGATCTAAACAGGTGCTAATCATGGTCCCTTGGTTTGATGTCCTTTGCCTTTAACCACTGAATAACTTTCAAGTGTCTGCTCTTCCCAAGAATTCTCTGTACCCTGAGATCCACTACTACTCCAGGAGCTTGGCTTCTCATCCATAATACAACTCTAGTTTTGTATATGTGGCTCAGTTGCAAGATTACTTCATGGAGATTTGAGTAAAAGGCTCAGTAAGTCCAGGTTTTGCCATTGAGAAGCTGCTTATTTGCAATGGCTCCTCTTTAGACATCAGGAGTGGCCTGGGAGAAAGGAAACTGCAAGAGAAAGGGAGAGGATACCAGCAGAGCCCAAGGACCTACACGGAAAAGGACTCAGTCCAGAATGAGAGAAGCATGGCTAGAGAGCTTAATAAATAGTGACCACCACCAGGGAAAAATGAGAAGAGGTATGAGGTCTAACTGAGTGAATGTGATGGAAGGATACTGAAAAAATCAATTAATGGCTTTAACTGAAAATGGAGAATGGATCAAAGAGCACAAGGAAGATTTTATTCAAATAGGGGACTATTCCCATAGATATATGTACCAGAATGGGATTTTTCAGTTGGGGAAAAAATTGGGCTCAGCTCTAAACACAGCATGAAGAAATGGGAATTTGTGCAGAAAGATCAAGGCGTTGGGGTTCAATAGATGAAAAATTACTAACAAGGAAGCATCATGACTAAGAAGGATTCTGACTAACCTGACCTAACAATGTTCTTGCTGAAAGCATGGCAGGGTGGTCAGACTTCACTGAGGGATAGCAGAGAATGAAGATCTTGATCAAATACTGAGAGTGATCAGAAGTTGATGGTGGGTAGTTCTGATTAAACTGGCCTAGAAGGAGTTTTATTAGCCTGAGAAACACTTGGTCAATGAGAGACTCTTTGTCAAGTGAGGAGGATTGGGCAGGAAAAGAAGTTGAGGTAAAGATAGAAATGAGGTAAATTAAGTTATTGGGAAATTTAGAACAATATTACAAACCACAAGTCATTTAACTCATTTCTCCTTTCTCTAAAAGGGTAAACATCTGGCACCTATGGGTGAAAATTAAGAACATAGAAATATTGCATATTTGACCTTCTAGGACATTTCATGGCAACTTCATCACATACAACAGGAAGGATAAGGGTGACTGACTGCTCAAGCCTGTCCTGATCACAACCTTCTAGGCCTTGCAGATAAAAATACCATATTTGTCCAGTTGTAAGGGGTCTAGAAGTACTCCATGCTTATTCATTATTACAACTTTGAAGATGATGGCATCAGATGACATTGATGACATAGTAAGGAGGCACCCCCCCACAAAAACCATTAGAACCAGATGTTGTAGAACCAACCATAAAAGGCATTAAACTAGAGATCCACTGATGTGGTTAGAGGCAGGTATACTTGATTTACACTTAAAGAAACATCCTTGCTTCCTAACAGGACTACCCCAAACTTATTATGGACCTCCATGCTCCATGAGCACCTCTCAACCTAATGCCTCCTGAAAACATTGGCTGAAAATATATCATTTAATCTTCCAGTGTACTCCAACCCATTTTTGTTTTAGTTATTTTCCTAGGGCTGTCCTGTGACTGTAGTCCTCCTACCTCTGCCTCTTGCATAACTGGGATTATAGGCATAGGCCACCATACCTCATTTGTTCCTTGAATTAGGGTCTCACTAACTTTTTAGGCTGGCTAGCCTGGAATGGTGATCTTTATATTTCTGTCTCCCAAGTACTCATAACAGGTGATACCCACTGCACATGTCTGCTCGTTAAATCTTTGGTGATTTTCTTGATAATGTTTATTTTATTGTGAAATTTTATGATAGTTACCATGTTATTATGTACTTTTTCATTGTCATATCACTTTTTACTTCTAAACAGTTCTCTTTTTAAATACTCTTTATAAGTTTATTAATAAGCTTCCAATTACAAAATTTAAAAACTACCAATGTAGTTTCTGTAACATCTGTGAGTCAGAGTATTCACTTTCACTCAGTACTCAGGGCTCTTTGTTGGTCCTTCAAAAAACTCATTCTCTCTGTCAACAAATATGTATTGAACACCTAGAATGTGCTGGATACTGTATTAGGAGCTGGGGCTACACTAAGACAGATGCAGCACCTCCCCATTAGGAGCTTACTTCTAGTGGTGGGGTCCTCAGGTGAGGCCTCAAATTTTGGCAGTGGGAAATACCTCAGCTTTGCATAAGTTATTCTCCTTCAATCTTATGACTTTTGATATAGGTGTTGACATCTCCATGTCACAAGCAGGGTTTAGCAAGGAAAAGTACCTGCTGCCATACATCAGGAGAGTAGGTTTGATTCAAGCCCAAGTTCATCTGACTCAAACCCATGTTATCTCCCTTCTAGACAGACTTCTTTCTGATCCTGAACTTTCTCTCTAGGTCAACCCAGAACGCAATGACCGCAGAATGAACCATTTCAGGGTCTACAATGACATCACTCTGTACAAGGCTAAAATGTGGAGCTTGGGAGAAGATGATCGCCACAAGTAGTGAGCCAGTGGTGGAGGGAATAATTGTACTGAATTCCCAACATGTGCAGTCTCCAGAAAAATAAATTTCTTTTTTAAAAAAACAAAATTACAACAGATCTTCTTTATGAATCATAGCTTCATTTATTATTCTAAAATTGAGCAGCTATCTAAATCAAAAATGTTTCAGGATACCATTCTACCAAATGGACCATTTATATTTGTAGCCAGGGAAAAGAAGTGCCCTCTAGAAAAGGGAAATGAGGTACAGTGCAGCCTGAGTAGTTACAACTTATGTCTATCTTATTTGAACATGGTTTGTACAGTTTGCAGCTTGTGACTGGCTGGGGTTCAGCTACTTGTTATAGAAAAGGTTACTGAGCTAACGTATTGGGTTAGGTTAGAGTTCACTATATATGGAGAAACTTTTAAGCCAAACTTAAAATATATAAGAGTAGCTATGGCAAAAGTTAACAATGTAAATCCATATCTGGCTTATCTTACTCTGAATTTCATTTTTCATTTTTGCCCAAGTCCACTAGTTCAAATCCTTAATCTTATAAATCAGTGTGAGAATTTTAGGTAAAGATGGCATACTACATACATGAAATGCATTTTTCTGACATCCCAAACACCAATAAAGGATGACGAAGAGATTAAAAGCTAATGTATGAATCCACAACAGAGAGAATCACAGGCAAACCCTTGCAATAAAAAAACAGAGACATTATTCATTCATTCATTCGGTCATTTAATTTATGTTATGGGGCCCAAATCCAGGTCCTTTCACAAGCTCTGCAAGTGCTCTAGTGCTAAGCTACCTGTCCAGGCTGAAGACATATTTAGGGAATAGAAAGCTTGATGTAGAGGTACTCCACACTCCTACACAAAATGCAAGCTTTCTGAGGGTACAGAGCCAGGGCCTGCCATAATTTTGGACACAGGTTCAGTACTCTGACACAGTGTGTATAAAGCAGAGAACTGTAAGTGAGCATTGCAAGTGAGCCTACAGTTTGTGCCACTCCACACACAGGTAGATTATATTTACCACAAGGAAGCTCGAGCCTTATTCTTGGAGAAATGGAAGAACATCATCCTGGGTTGGAGGGAGGGGTGAGCAATGAAAGTCTGCAAAAGGAAGGCTGAGCCCCCAGCCCATGTGCCTCCCATACACTACATTTTTTACATTGGGTTTGAAGAAGGAGTGCTCTTTGGAAAAATGAAGCAGCTTTAAGGAAAAGACTCCCATTTTACAATTTGAGGATCCTCTTTGGAGAGAGCTGGGAAAGGCTATTTTCCCACCATGCCTATAAGTATTCCTTCTGAGCTTCATCCTGCTTAGCTTGCTGCTGGTTCAAGCTATATCTCTATTTTCACCTGGGTCATGACATCTGCGGGTTATTCTTCAATCTCATGGCTTTTGATGTAGACATTATTGGGCCATATTAACAAGAATCTGTTCTCTTACACCCTACAATGGCAATACTTAACCTGTTGAAAGGTTTAAGGCATGATGAATGGAATATATCTGCTCCTCATAAAGGTAACAAGGAAATGCTAGTAGTGTTCTACCACTTAAGCCCCTCTGCCAGTCCTCTCCTGCACACTTCAATGTCTGTGAGTCCATGGAGAAAAGGTGGAAGTACAATGGATGCAACACATCCACTCTTCATAAAACTAGGAAGGAATTTCCAGTGAGTGGAAAAAGCCAGCAAGGCAAGAAGTCAAAGGGAATCCCTACAGACACAAGAACCAGGATTCAAGGAATTGGTCATGAAGACAGGTGCTGAAGCTTAAGAAAGGAGAAATAAAACTGCAGAGGTAACTAAAGAGTTGGCAAATAAAAACAGGTTTGCTGTTACTAAAACCCCAAAAGAAAAGTATGAGTTCTAGAACATTAGTGACTTTTTCCTAGCTGCCATCAACCAATATCCTCAGTAGGCCACCAGGAGGACACTCTGTTTGTAGCAGTAAAGAAGTCAATGCTGACATTGAATGACATGCTTAGCATCTGTGAATCAGCTCAACTTTACAAGTAACAAAGACCACAAGAGGGAGCAGGCTGTGATCTTGCACTTGCTTAGAAACTATGCTGCAATGAAAATACCAGTAAAAGAAAGAAAGAAGCTGATCAAGGCTGAGAGGGCGACTGGATACTGGAGAAGAAAGGAGCAGGACTGTGAGAAATAGCAGGTTAAGGAAAGACCAGAGAGAAGCAAGGCCTCAGGATTCCCTTGAACAGTCCTTGGGTGAGGAAAAGTTAGACCATATGCAGCAACTTGGTTTGGTGATATCCAAGCTGGTTTTCCTGGAAGAATGCCTGAAACAAAGGAGCGGGGCAGAATGGCCTGGGTTAACAGAAATGCCTGGGTCAGTGAAGTGATAAACAATAAAGTTTCTCCAGCACTGCAGGTCCTGGAGATGAAAGTAACGATTCAAATTATCAGAACAACCCAAATGATAGAAATCTCATCTATAAATTACCAGCCAAATGCCTATTCAACAAAGCTGCTCTTTCATAGGTGGGAAGAATCACATCAGTGATTGGGCATCAGAATAGTTCAAACCCAGTAACTTTATCCTTATTTGTAAAAATAATCAGGAGTATTTTGATGATAATCCCTACCTGTATGGCCAAATGCATTGTAAACATTTTATAGTAATATACAATTAGCATTTTCCAAAATTCTCCTACTTATGGCTATTACAAACTTAAACTATAAAATTAGCATTTAAGGTATCTTTTAAAACTAGAAAACATGAATAGGTCACAACAAAGTTAATACCTAAATTTTGGAATGTACTCATCATTGTGTCTTTTCCTTTGCCTTGATTAGATAAAGAAGAAACTGTTAAGGATCTCTTATTCCAGTATGAAAGGAAGTGCATAAAACTAGAGGAAAGGTATATTTTGTTTCTGGATCTTGATTTCTATTTTAGTTTTCTATCTTGAGAACAAAGGCCATGAACTTCCCAAGGTTTGGTTAAGGATGGAAACCCTACAAGAAGTTTCAACAGTTTTACCACATTTTGTATCACTGAAGAACAAAAACAAAAATTCAAATTATATTGGTAGTGAGCAATGAACCCTTACACATGTGCAAAGTACTTGTAATTGCAACAAATAATTTTGGTTCAGTCACCTAAAGTACAAATGAAATAATGTGCATTGCCTCCATGTCAGAAAAGAAGAGGTTCATTTTTCTTTCTTGTGTCTATGTTTGAAATTATCTTCCTATTAGCAAATGCAAAACTCTTAAGAATCTACTTTGTTTTCTCTGGCCTTATAAGGGTTTTTTATTTTTTGGAGGCAGGTATGCCAGGAAATTAACCCAGAGCCTCATGAATACTAACCATGTTCTCTCCCACTGATCTATGCCCCTGAGTCCCTATGTTTTCATTTCTACTGAGCTAAAAAAGACCTTTCATTGGGTATCATCCTAGTTACCAGTGTCTATAGAAGCACCACATGAACACATATAACACTAAGGTCCCTTTAACTAGAAACATGGTAAGTAATAGGAAAGGTAATGATAGATGTCATTTCTGATTTGGGAAGAGGAGTTAATCTGCACATATACATATGAGGTCCAGTGACATCCACTTTATCAACATGATATGCCAAAAAAATATGGAAGAGTCTGTTATTCAGAAAAATACATCTATTATAATTCTATTTGAATTCATCATAAATATAGAGTACTTAAGGAGAGCACAACAAGGAGATTAGTTGATGTGTGAGGTGCATCTAATTTTATGATATACTGTAAATTGTACAATAAATTAAACCCCTGGTTAGTTTTCATCAAAAGGTTGCAAGCTCTGGAAGTCATCATTGTGTTCCTTTAAATAAAGCACCATCATTTCCTCTACTTCCACCTCTTTGTCAACTCCACTAAAAAGAGAAGGCTGTTATTTTGCATTTAATTTTTTTTTATTTTGGTGGCACTGGAGTTTGAGCCAGGGTCTTAGACTTACTAGGCAAGTGCTCTACCACTTCAGCCATGCTCCAAGCCTGGACCTTTCTTCTTTGTATCAAAACCAAATTTGTGTTTTTTATCTCATCATTTAGCATTGGGGATTTGAAATAATTGGTGTCCTACCAATTATTGTTGCCCTGTAAATCCCAGTGAATTTTACGACTTAAGGTACCCTCCGGTTTCTTTCCAAAAAGCCCTTAAGACACTACTGTCACCAGAATCCCACACTTGGTCCCAAGTTTTTACTCTACAAACTTCTAGACAAGCTCACCTACTTATGGCCTTAACCCCTACGTGTTCCTAAATTCTTCCCAGGAACCCAGGCTAAAAGCCTTGAGCCAGCTTTCACTCTCTACACCAAAAGCATTTACTGAGCCCTACTAACTTACCCTCCTAAGTATTTCTTCAATCTGTTTCTTCTTCCCTAACTGCTACATTTTCAAAGCCCAATCATTGCTTATGTGTGCTTTAACAACAGTTACCAATTAAACAATCTCCATAATCATGGTGCCACTGAAGTTTTAAAACATGAGCATGACTGCTCATTAACATGAGAAAAACCCACGTGTGTCTTCCCACCCTCTCCTGCGCAAAGCCCAATCTGCAGAGCAGACAATGGGCAGCTCAAGCCCCAGCCCATCTCACCACTTCTGGCCTTGCACTGACTCCAAAGGGATGCAAAATGTCAGCTGTTCCTCACCACAGCCAGATGTTTCACATTTCCAAATCTTTGATCCTTTAGGTTCTTCTTGAAACCAGCTGCTCTCCTACTCTCCCTCCACACTAGGCTCAGATGGGACCTTCTTGCAGGAAGCCAGCCCCAGAGTCTGTTGGAGGTTTTAAAATGAGCCTCCATACTACTCCTTAAATGCCTCCATCATAGTGCTCACTGGTGTCCAGGTTTGCAGAAAGCTGAGATAAAAAGAGAGCCAACATACTCCCTTTCAATTTTCATAGTATTGTGGGACACTAATTATACAGATGATGCAATTAACAAGTGACTTGCTCAAAGCTATCTTCCTGCTGAGGTGTAGAATATAGA